GGGGGGGGGGGGGGGGGTTGACAAAAACGGACGTGATTTACTTAGTGATTATGTTAGGAATATCCAAAAAGTGTCAGGGTTAACGCCCTCAGACATAAGATATATAAGTAATTCCAACGGTATAAGACCATTTCATGATCAGTCTATAGACAATCTTTCAGTATGATTTTACACCACAAAAACGAAAAATAAATTGCGCCTTGAGACAGCTGGTGAATGGATAATGTAAAAAATTACTCATTTATTTCAGCGTAAACTGTAATGCACATGTGCTTCCAAGAAATCCGTAACAATTTAGTTGAGAATGTTATTCATGACAGTCGTCTGTTCCGTATCATCGAATGTTGAATGAATGTGGTATCCATAATGTTAGCTTTTGCACCTTAGAGCGACTACGAAGTTACGAAACACAAGGATAATTATGTGGTATCGTCGGCTGTGAAAAATCCCGCTTGTATCCCGGAGTTGCTGTATTTTTATCTGTTATCCCGTTCAAAGAAATGAACGTATTGTCGTTTATAAGAATAACCCTGATGTAAATTTGGTTGTGGTTTGTGTATCGCTATGGCGAGCTCTAAAAATGCACTTATGAATTCATGGAATGACAAAGGTCCGCATAATTTCACACGCCCACTTGTGTTATATTAGCAAACACATTTGCATTTTGTCCCACCTCCTCCAATTCTTGCTGCAACAGTGTTGCAAATACTTTAGCCAATCAGAGACGAGTATATGTTGAGGTTGGGTTCTCCCATTTCAGCTCAATCGTTAAATACCATCAGTCAGAGTGGTCAGAACTGCAGCTATATTTTCAGTACTTGCCTTTCAATATGGCGTCCTTCCACGAAGGAGCGATGTATGGGAAGGAAGATTTTGTCCTTCTCGATGAAATTACGATGGAGGCGTTTATGGAAAACTTAGAACTACGCTATAAGAAGGAGAGAATATATACTTATATCGGCGAAGTGTTGGTATCCATGAATCCGTACAAAACATTGAACATTTACGAAAAGGACAAAATCGCTGATTACTCTGGCAGGGAGCTTTACGAGAGACCACCGCATATATTCGCGATTGCCGATGCAGCTTACATCAGTATGAAACGAAAGAGCAGAGATACATGTATTGTGATTTCAGGTTGGTGCTTGACAAAAATACCACAAATAATTTGTCGTACTGAACAAATATATGAACGATACAGTGTTTCAATTAATTTTAAATTCCCCAGAGGCCGAGTTAAGTGTCTCATTTATTTACAGCTAAATCTTTATAACGTATTATTTATCCTAATCCACTCAACAACTTAATCAAGCACAGTGTCATTGCCTTAAACCTGTACGAAGTTTGAGTGTAAATATGATATTTATTTGCACTGCAAATTACGGTTGCTAAGCTTTAAGTGAAACCAATTTTGACAAGTCTGTAGACGTAATATTCTGAAAAATTATTACTCGTCAAAACTCTGAAGAACAATGAAAGATATTTTACAAATCGTGTATCAAATTTGTGGTTTGCCATTAAAACAAAGCCGAATTCGTGGGGAATACTGATTTAATTAGGCAGAATAATCACACGACCAATGTTTATAAAGCTATCGTGTACATTTATTAATTCGTAGCATTATAAAAGTGTTGATATTTTCACTTCACCACACAGTAAAAACGTCATTAACTTGTTCGGTAAAATGTTGATAATTTAATGCTGATAATTTCTTTTTCAAATTGGCACGATATTATAGCCTCATAAGACATATTTCAGACACATTCATTGACAGCTACGCTTATATGGCCGGCACACCTTGATATATCTGCTTTTCTGTTATACTTTCAAATTGTTGTTTAACAATTTTCACAGCTTAAAGTGCATCGCTTATCATAATTGCTTAGGTATTGAAAGAACTATGTACGTAATATTCCAAACATTATAACACAACTTGAAAAATAATACACAGTGGTTTCGTGATGTTGGGGGTCAAAATATCAACGTGTTATTGAATATATAATTATCAGATTATTCTCATGCTCGTATATTTGTGAGGTGTTGTATGTGCAGTTACACGAAAATGCGTAGATTTTTTTTATTCTATGGCGTTTGAATGCAGACATTTCTTTCATTGGATATAAAAGCTTCCTGATTGCTACTGATTTGATGACAGAAGCATATGTCTATGTGGTGAACATTGACCCAGTAGCAGAAATGGATTTCACATGTTTTCATTGTGATTCAATAGTTACAAGTTTACTAATTGGTCCACATTCTATGAATTGTATTCTAACTTGCCTTTGCTAATTAGTATATAGTATATACTAGTGAGTTTGGGCTAACCCTCCTTTTAAGGAATGACATTTTGAAAATTAATTGCAGTAAAATGTAAACATTCAAATTGTACATGTTCATGCATGTACCACAGTACCAGGAAATTAATTGCATTTCATTTGGTTACACCTTTTATACATATAGAAATCATCATCCTGTTTGTCCCCTCAAGCATAGGCGTCAAAAGATCGATAAGTGGGGGGACCATATTCATATATTCGTGTTCACAGACCTTAAAAACAATCGATTTCAAAAGAAATTAATAATGCAAAACACGAATATATGAATATGGCCCCCCCCCCCCCACTTATCGATCTTTTGACGCCTATGCCTCAAGGGGGGGGGGGTCCTCACTCCGCTCTACTCTGTCGTTGACTTTGTCCAAATCCACCACTCTCCCATCATCCTGAGCACAATCCATCCATCATTTTCTTGGTTGACCCCTACTCCTTGTTCCTGGTTCCTTATGCTCCATTGCCCATCTAACAAGCTCTTTCACTTTCATTCTCTTCATGTGCCCATACCATCTCAGTCTACTTTCTCAAATCTTTTCTCTCAGCTCTGTCACCTTCAATTCCTGTATTATGTCTACATTTCTCATTCTTTCTCGTCTTGTTACACCTCTAAAAAAAATGTTGTTGCAGAATTGTTTCATATTTTTGTCATTCATTATTTAACAATTATTGAATGAGGTTGAGCACGATATGAAGAATTATCAAGCCCGAAATTTGCCATTATCAACTGAAGCCGAAGGCTGAGGTTGATAACGGCAAACTGAGGGCTTGATAATTCTTCATATTGTGCGAAAACCGAATTCAGTAATTGTTTTATATTTATTTATTTAAAAAATACAAAACAAACATTTGTATTTTATTTGTATTAAGAAAAAAACAATTCCTTAGTCCTTCGGAGCCGTCGTCGCGTCATATCAATGGTGTCAGTGAGTCAATATGATTCTCGTCGTCATAGTAATATGGCGCAAACGCGGCCAAATTTTTTTCATATTGACTCTTTGATGTCATTTTGCTAATATGAATGTGAGAAATCCGTATTTGGTTAGCCATTGAGTTGATATGACAATTTCACAGTTGGCTGTTAGCCAATCAGAAACCAGGAATTTTTTAAATAAATAATATTAATTATTACAGGGTTCTGCCCAGGCCTAAGGAATAACCCCTCTACCTTTATCACAAAATGCTTATTGCTATTTTTCAAGTTGTGTAATTTGAGCAAGTGAAATTGTATTATACTGTATACTCAGCTAACGATTGATATTGTATCAGAAGTATTTTTATTTTATTATATATATAACAAAATTGTATTTTATGGTTTGGGTGATAGATCACTGTGATTGACTGGATGTTGTTGCAAGCCTATTTTCAGCAAGGTCTTTCTTCAGTTGACTTTAATCCCTGTAAGCGGCAATGCACTCTGCTTTGGGGACTTTGGGGAAATAATGACATATTTCTCCAATTCACCAATAACTGCATTTAATAGTGTGTGCATTACAGTGCTGAATTTCATCTAGTACTATTTTATATATAAATAACAACATTTAAATTTAAGATAAAATATCTATATTACAAAATGCAACAGTGGGGTTTTCAAATTGCATATTTGAAATCTTTTATTGTAATTACTAAAAGCCTGCTTTGTGGTGAGTGCCAGGTGGCACTGCTAAGTGCTGGGCGGTGCCACCCACTATGGGCAGAACTGATTATAATTTATTACAACATATGTAAAGCAATATGTTGGGGTTGCTAAATTTCTTTCATCGGTTTCATAGTTGTTATATTGTGAGAAACAGTATATATATGTAAACTTTAATACTTTAAAGGAAACTATTATGAAATATACACATCACTTTTTCTATGCCTCATGTCTGTGTCTGTCCTTTCCCGTAAGTCCTCTTCTTCGAATCCCGCTACACAGTTCACTTCCGTCTACTACGTATCAGAACACAACAATAGTGTTGGAATTCACTACAATAACTCGATAACCATTATCAAATGTCGTGATTTTTCTTAATTACCTATATATAATCTGTATGTTTGCATTGTGGCATAATTAAACATAACATATCATAAGTATAGGAATATCAAGACACTCTATTTTACCAATGCTTATATAATGTTATTTATTTTGCAGTGAGAACACTGCAAGTGTAAAATCATGAAAGGGTCCCACTTTACACTTATGCCTGTATTAATTATGCCTTATGTTTAATGCTTATGTTACAGTGAACACCAGCTAGGCCGGCCTAATCAACTAAAATGGAACCTGAGTAGATAGGCCATTCCCTATCTGACTGCAGTTTTTGACAAGCCTGGGCAATCATTCTAAAAGCATTTCAATGATAGCAGTTTGACTGTCTATAGTCACTTTGTAACAATTTAAACCTGTAACAATAATCTAACTTTTCAATGGGGAAATTGCAGCCACTTGATAAACCATAATATAGACAAATTTGTAACATTTAAGCAAAGGATCCAGAAATTTGCAGCATGTCAGCTAGCAACCAAAGTGCTACAGTATACTATTACTATTAAACTTTAAAACATAACACTATTTTGCGTGCATGTTAGAGGTTTAAGGAAGTAGTAAAGGTAATAGTATTTGCCAGGCCCACTGAACTGTATGAAAATTTCACTCCTGGATGGTGCTATGATTTAGATTGTTTTAAACATGTCACCTGCGTCAGGCAGCCATCTTAGGCATGCCTAATTGGATTACTGACCAAGATATGATCACCAACAATTGGATTACTGACCAAGATATGATCACCAACAAGATACACTTAGTAGAAGAATCTCTGTTTTCCAAGATGACGGTGACCTGCAAGCTCCCTGGCCTGATTACTTGAAAATAAAAAACTTTCCGAAATTACATTAATGTACTGGTGTTGACAGTAATTGTAACAGAATTATACAGTCTGAAGGCTAATCATTTTTAGGTTGCATGGAGCTCAGGGTCTTAGCTAGAGGGCCGTGTTGGCCGTGTTATCGCGGCCAAAAATGGAAAAACACGGCTAGATAAAATGAACGCGGCTTCATTATTTATATAAGGCCGTGTAGGTTCATAAAATAAGATGGTGGTGCTACTTACAACAGACAGAATTTCTTTCTATTTACGTCATAAGAAACTAAAGAAAGTTTGTAAAATCTATTGTTGTTGTTGAAATTGGCAAAAGTGTCTGTGATGTTTTAATGTTTTGATGGATAATGGGAACCGAAAGGTGTTAAAGTGGTTTTAAATACCCCCAAGTGTTGCTGAAATAATTTAACATTTTAATGTCAGTGCGCAATATGAGTATATGCTCGCCTTGTATTTGGTTGCAAAGTATAGAACAACCACAGGCATTGTCCGTTGTTGTAGAACCGTGAATTTGGCTATTCAAGGTAATTGACATGTGCACACCCTGGTCATTTAGAAACGCGCCCAAGATCTAAAATCCTAGCTAAGACCCTGATGGAGCTCAATTAAGTGAGATATCTACGCCCAAACATTAAAAGGTAAAGCTGGTGTATAAAAATATCGCTATACAGAATTACAATTATAGAAATATTGAGCCACATTCAACTCAACAGCGAAGTAGTACAGCCCAGGTGTTCAAAATTTGTGTTCTATGTACAGTAGGGTTTTAGACGTGTATAAATACTGTGCTAAAGGTTTGTTCAGATTATTCCGTTATCAAAACAGCAGAGCATCACTGATAGCCAGACTGATATGTATAGACTTTGAGGTGCCTTTTCAGTGAAATTCAACCCATTGAAATAGTCATATTGAGCAGTCCTAGACCCTCTATACAGTACAATGTTATGTAGTTTTGAAGGGAAACTTACCGCGTTCTCTAAGAACTATTTAAATATGTAGTGTGGTGTATGATGTTTGCATATCATATCAAGTGAAATATTTCAAGAATAAAGCAAGTTACGTAACAGAATTTTACAAAAGATGATGTTCAGTGATTAAATTGCTTTCTACCTATACGATAATAAAAAAAGGTGTA